ATGATGAACAATGTTCAATCTTTCCGAACACTAACTTCAACCTAGATTCACGTTTCAGAGTGTAAGAAGAAATCCATCTACGACTTTATCAAAACAGTAATGAACTCAAAAAGCAGGACAATTTGATGCAAAAAGCGATCGGGCGATTGTTGTACTCTTTGCCACCGATGTAGACATGACTATCTTCGAGTTGTCTAAACGAATTTCTTTTGAAAAACTTTTGAGAGAACTATCAATCAGAAACAGATAAGGCTTTGGAATACGGACGCGATTCATGTTGCTTCTATTATGCTCAGCGTCATATAATATGTAAAGGAAAAGCGTCCGTTACGCGCGCCCGTCGAAGCTTATGTCATCGAGAGATTTCAGAGGCCCACTTTGCGCGACCCGCCCACTTTGCGCGCAGCGCAGCGCACTGCTCCTGATGACATTATAGTACCGCTCAATGTCAGTGAAGCGAATAATTTGCACTAGTCTGTTTTATCTTCTCTTTGAAGTGAGGACCCTTTTTGTGTGCCCCACTGACAACTGCGACGTACCTCAAGCATTGCGGGCAGCGTGCGACGGCTGCGGCATGACCTAGGGACTCGCGGAACGAAGCGCACTCGTTATAGAATGGGAAAATAAATAACGATGCCATTGAGAGGCTGCTTTCATACTTCGACTTGCGCTCGTAGTTGGAAACGTTCGTACATTTAGGAAGCGGCGTGCGAGCGGCTATGCGACGGCGGCCTTGTCCGAGCGTGTGACAGCAGCGGTTACCGATCGATACCGCAAATCGAGGATGGCTGCTGTCACACGCTTGGATAGGGCCGCCGTCGCGCATAGCCGCTCGCATCCCACTTCTAAATGTACGGCCGCGTCCAACTGCGAGCCGGCGCGCAAGTCGAAGTATGAAATCAGCCAGAAGTGATCTCCTATCTGTATTTTTAAACCGAAGTCCTGGAATTGAGGTTACGAAAGTGCCCACTTTTCATAATAAGACGGGTCACATCATCTACAATCGAAATTGCGATTAACCCTCGCTGTTGTTCCAAACCTTCGCAATGGATCAGGCCATTTTTTTCGCGCCAGATTCTACATATTCCCCAATGCATGGAGAAGGAGGTGCTAAGTTCAGGGAACAATGCACAAAGACCTTCAATTGAGAGTACTTCACTTTCCTCGCGAGTTCCTGGGTAGATAAAATTATTGACAACATCGTAACCAATATAGTCCTCTTGTCGAACATGCTGTGGTAGTGGATAGAAAGGGCAGAGTCTACAAGTTGCAAAGCGACGTTCTTCCATAGAGGTGAGATCATAGATTAACGTTCGAACTTGCGGAGCTGTGTAGAGAAGCCATTGGAGAAGTTCTCAAAATCAAATAGCTGAAGTCCTGGCACATACTTTCGGGACAGGGAAGAGCATACGAAAAGCTCGCCGGAGCTTCTACACCTTGAAGGAACAATTACTGTCTCGAAAGACAGCATAGAAGGTCATCTAGGACAGCGACCCGGAAATCTTCAACAGCCACGTCTATCTGCCCTTCTGCCCTACCATTTTGGCCAGTGTGAATATGTCTATCTTCTAGTTATCCCTTCCAAAATTCAAGACGAAGAATTGTACGTCATCCCCCCCCCCGCTTATCACCAAATGTTGATTAACTCGCCGAGGTACCCGTCGGATTACAACGCAGGGCACGTTTTGCTGAATATCAAGGGAGACCCAGACGGTATGTGCAACTACTGCCCGATCTGTACAATATCCGTAAACTTAACACAAGAGTCACGCTCAACAGAATTGGTAGAATTCAATGTGAAGAACAGTTAGCAGACTCTTAGAGAAGCTCCAGTAAGATCGATCATATCCTTACGGTTACAGAACTCATTGACATGATTTTGTTATTAAGGTCATCGGCTCGACAGATTTGATAGCCCGCCTGCAATGCGAACCCCTGAAGCATTTTGAAATCTGAATCCTTCGCCCTTCATATGATCAAGAGCTAAGCTCGACTGCTTCACGGAATAAAGCACAAATCATGGAGCTTACTACTTTTTTTAGTGAACAGCAAGTATGTCGAGCAGAAACGAGGTAGCTCACCTCCGCATTCATCACAGTTGGCCAAAAGACGGAGACACTAAAAGAGGGTCCCTGCTCTGCTCACAACCGAAAATAACTGTTTCACAGCTATGGCGCTCATCAGTGTTGCAATCTTTCAAAGCGCTGAGGGCAGTCCATCTTCAAACACGTCACTTCTTTTTTCATGTAAACACCAATCTCCACCGGCCCACTACTCAACGACGTCATCTTGCCTCACAGATACCAGAGCCTCTTCTTCTCTTAACGAGACTCCTCAGTTTCATCCCTGGATAACCTCAACAAATTTCAGGACCGACTATCGTAAAAAGGGGATATCGGATAGTGCTCCGGGAGAGCTGGCAATCAGACGTTTCTCCGCTTCATCGGCATGCTGGGAATTTCAGAAAACGTTGTAAAAGGAAGCACTCGACATCGTCGAGGCCCGGACGCGAGCGAGTGGATCATCCTTTTGAATGACTGCCGACGCTCTAGCCAACCAGAAGCGAGCAGAATAAGAGTCCCTACTCTCTCCATAAGCTTTTCCTAACCTACACTGCTCGTGGAAGATGTTGTTTCGCTTTTTTCGCTAGGGTCGAGAAATTGCGCGATCTATTTAATATNATATAATCAGATCTCGATCTTTTGGGAATCTTAGATCTTAAATGTAAACTACGTCAGCTTACTTGACACACACACTGTACCTTAGAACTTTGTGAGGAAGAAACATACCTTTGCATACTCCGATCTCTGGATTGGCCCTTCTGATGGAGGTTTTATTTGAACTTCATTATATCTAGCTCCACCCTCTGCTGAAGACCCTTTTCGCTTTCGCTGTTGTGGAGCTGGTCTACTAAAACGTGAAGTGTTTTGCAGGGGTGAGTGAGCTCTTTGAATATTTTTCTTTCATTTTCACTCATCAAAACAGGCGAATTCTGATGATAGCCAGTTTCGATTTACTTCAGTAGTAGCACCTCACTTAACTCTGCTCCTTCTTTGTAATTTCTATTGCGATTATGGCCCTCAAGTTGTAAAGTTTCCATTGCGATTCTAAAGCTAGACTAATCTTTTTTCTTCTTACTACACGGTTCCTATATATGAACACACTTGTTTTTTGTTAGATAAGACTGCGCTACTTGAATGTTTAGTACGTGTGCGCATGTTTGCTAAGCTCTTGACCTATCATAAGTCAGTCTAGTTATACGACTTAGGCAGCCATGCTTTTTTCATGAAAGAAAGTTGGAGGAGCAGGCTAGTACCGGTTTTCACTTCAGTGTGGTTGATTCAATACTTGTGATCGCGAAATTCCATGCTTGATTCACTATTTCACTTTAGTTACATTTGAAGGCACAGATAACGATCAAAATGGTTTCCTAGATTTCCCTCAGGATTACCCAGATGCCCCCAAGGGCAACAGGGCAACAGGAGAGGCGCCGTAGGGAGCTGAAACTTGAGAGCTAGGGCATAAAGGAGCCTCACTACCGGATCGGCTGGATGTCACGCCCATCGACCGATGATGTGTCAGACGAGTGTCAAGGCGATACAGATTACACATTCGCCCCAGGACCCACACACATCCAGATGATTGCCAAGTAATGAGGCGATGTTTTCATCTTATTCTTTTAATCTTTTTTTTTTGCTGCTGACATCCTTTATCTGGTTTTCCTCCTCAGGGGGAAGAAAAAGGTGGGCTATTTTGGTGTCGATAGCGCTTCTTTTAACTTATGCTTATGAGTTAATAAAATTCGAAGGACATTTCTGCTTACTGTAGTCAGCTGTTCGCGCCAGGGCTGCCACGTACGCAATTACACATGCACTATGGTTCGTCCAAACGCCCCTTCTACTTCACTTTTCTCATCTCGTTCTCGCACAGTCCCCTCTTTACCGATTTTTCCGAAGCCTTTTATTACTCTGCAGACACCGATCTTCGTCCACCTTCTCCTTCATTCGACCGTGACCCGGAATTATCGTGCATTGTTTTTTCAAACTAGAATAACCTAAGCTCCACAGCAGTGATGAGTGTCGTTTTTACGCATTCATGAATACCGCACTTATGAGTGAGCGTGAAATAGAAGCTTGGAAGCTAACCCGAGGGACTTTTATTAATAGAACACGCTCCCATGCACGACACAAGAGTTGGTTCGTTAGTCGGAAATGGTATTCTGGACGTTAGGTCACTCACTAGAAGTTCCGCGATACCGATGAACGAACGAGGAGCAGAAACAATTGGAACGTAGAGTTCGATGACGGCGCCAAGTTCTAGTACAACCAACAAGGCCTATACGAAATGGTGGAGCTATGGTAGCTGCGTAGTCCTTTGAAGACCCTGTTCCCGCTGTCAACAGGACCAGCCGTCGTATCATGCATAACGGGATGGACACGAAAAAGGGGTACTGGGCAACAATATAATACTGCTAGCCAGGTGCTACGGGTACCGAAAGGTCAAGTCTTTCCGAGTTTTGACGGGGCCATAAGATTTTTTCCGGGAAGGGACTACCTAGTCGCAGTGGATGGTCTGAATTGCCGCGTCGGCAGTGAACGGAAGGAGCCAGAAAAGGTTTGAAGAAGAAGTAGGAGCTACAAACGGAAAAGAAAAAGGCTCCTGACCTAGCTACAGCCCACAACCCGGCAGTCTGCAGCACGGGGGTCATAGAGGTAACCTACAGCAACTGTGAGGAACAAACAGGAGTCGGTCATGTGAGTCGTGTGAGAAAAACATTCTTCAACACTGTAATAGCCATCGAGGTTTTGTCTAGGAGAACATAGGTATTTCCTGCCCGGAGTGGCCATCAAGCTCCCAAAAAAAGCAAAGATAAAAAAGATGGATTAATCCGGTAGTGAAAACTGCGCCAAGCGGAAAAGGAAGACCGCAGAAAGAGAATGCTTTCTCTCGTACCTTCCAGCAAACGCGGCCTGCGCCACTCTTGGGTAATTGCCAAATACTTACTAGCAGGTAGATGTTCCTTGAGCTAACTATTTCACCGATTTTCGCATCAATAATACATGTAATTCAATAACAATTTACTCTGAGTCTGAGCGTCTGACTGTCATTCCTTAATGTTTTATTGATCGTGTTGTGAGGTTGACTTGCTTAGGAGTTTGTTTATGTTCCTGGGCTCTTAACTCTTACAGACACCTTCACCACACGCGCCGGAGAGTGCTATGATTGCAGTAGCAAAGGCAAAAAACATAGAGAAGGACCCATTGTACGAGATGGAAGAAGTTCGTCTTTTCACTGACCGGAGCGTGAAATCGAGCTAAAAATACGTAGGAGATATCCGAAGAAATCGAGTTCAAGCGCAGGTAAGAAGAAAACGTCAGTGGTCTCCCAAATCAAAGTTTCCATCGAGATAACAGCTCACAGGTGGAGGCGAAGGTTGGCCCACTGCGGAGAGAGGATGGGATTTCTAGGCAATAGGAATAAAGAGGTAGAGGAAAAGATTGGGCGTAATCGAGGCATGGAAGGCGTCAGAATCGAAGGATTAGAAGGCACACCCAATTCTTGAAGAGTGCGACCATAAAAAGAAGAATCCCAAACGCGCGGAAAAGCATTATTGTTACCGTCTTCAAGCACTGAGGAGGGCGAAGGAGTGTTCCGACTATCCTGGGACTAGGTTGACTGCACATGTCATGAGGCTATACGACGGTCAAGCGGTTAGTCGACTCAAGAATGGAAGAGCTGACTCCGATATCACAGAAGTAGTGCAGATTCATGCCAAAAAGTTCCACAACAGATGCCATCTGCGCAGCTACACAAGTCTTGAAGAAGCATCGAGGAAGGCGTGGACCCTGCCTAACTTTCCTCGACCTGGTCAAAACGTTTGACCGTTTACCGCGATCAGTACTCTGGAGAGCGTTTCGGGAAACGAGCACTCTCAGAACACTTGATCCCCCTTGCCAAGGGCATGTACGAACATCCAAAGCACTGTCCACTGCCTAACAAGAGCCATGGAAGTTATGGTTAAAGTACATCAAGTATCAGCACTGCGCCCGTTCTTCTTGCTGCTAACGAAAAATGTCATCATATAAAAGGATTGTAGGTAGAGCAGTGAAGATCGTTGTACGCTGATGGCATCGGTCTGATAGCGGAAGGGAGAAAGAAAAGGAAGGAAACTGCGGAGCGTCCAGGCGGTATAGATCTTCCACCACATTGTGAAAACAACCAAGTTTCTCAGCTCGGATACTGCGCAGAACCACATGTAGGTTGTTTCGAGAGAGCCAGAGAAAGAAGTTTGCTTAAAATTAATTGGCTACTGTTGGTAGCATGTCCGGTGGCATCCTCTGCGACCACCGGTGCTTCGGGGGCTTTAAATAAAGTTGTACAGAGCAGTGGTGAAGCTCGCGATGTCCTACGACAGCGAGCCACAGGCATGAATCTTAGGGAGCAACTCTACTCAAAACACTGCTCTATGGTTGGTCGCGACTAGGCTGGATCAGAAACGAAGACATTAGAACGGTTATAAACAACTCTCGTCCAGCTGAGGACGATAGAACAGTGCTTACAATGGTATGGGCAGATGAGAGTGACCACGTATAACACCTTCAGAAGAGTTAGCGAGACTTGATCAAGAAAAACCTCGCCAGAATCAAGTTATGGGAAAGGATAAAGCACAGAGAATGTAAACGACCAACAAGAATAGCGGATCCTGCGATGACACCGGACTGAAGCTAGTGAGAAGCGCATGAAGATTTCTTGTCACGACACCACTCACAACTTGTTATCGATCATCATTCTCCAGATGCTACGATACATTTATATCTTACTCAACTTCAGTTATATCTGTTGATCTTCTCAAGGTTTAAGTGACAGAAATGAGAAGCGGAGGTGACTTTTTGCTGGTAATATATTACTGTCTTGATAGTAATTGCAACGCAGCGACACATACCATTGAACAAAGGTGTACATTAACAAACGTAAGCAAAAAATGTAAAAGATGGGATAGGAGTGAGGCATCAGCCCTGACAGTGATGTAGAAATCATGAACAATCATGCAGTTAGCCTTGAAACCTTGAAATTCCACGCACCCCTTTCTTGAGTTCGACTGCAGCATGGAGCAGAATCATCACCATATTTAAAGCGCTCGCGTCTGCCTGTCTGCACAGAAATTCTCTGTCCTCGTGGACCTAGAGCGTTTAAATTCGGTGGGAGCACAGGAGGTGAGATGAGAACACTTACAGTGATTGGCAGGACAGGGCTCCGCTTATAATGGGCGGGGCTTGAGCGGAAACTCATAACTCCTTCTTCGTGGACTAGAACTTTCGAGTCAGAATGGAAACACTTATGATGGGTGGCAAAATTGGACTCTGCCCAAAGCGGGCCAGTGAGTGGGGTTCAAGCGGGAAATCATAGCTCATGTCCCAGTGGACCTAGAGCGTTCAAATTCCGTAGCAATACGGATGGGCGGTAAATGAGCGGTCGTGGACATATAGCACAGCGTTAGCGTGCTTAGCCCAACTGATTTTATATGACAGGCTCGCTTCTGCCTTGACATTTCTGCTTGCTGTAGTCAGCTGTAGACAAGGGCACACATTGAAGAGTTCGTTCAAGCACCCCGTCCACGCCATTGTTTGCCCTACTCTCACCGTACCAGTACGAGACTCTTAATGATAATTGTTATACATAGTAACAGCGTAAATAGTTATCAGCTATGAACACCCACTGACCCTTTTGAGAAAGCAAAGCCACGAGTGTATTGTGAACAGGAACATTCCGTCCAACACAACGTTCCAAAAGATAAAGAATTTCTCCTGAAGTGGACTCACTTCGCGAATGGATTTTCTTCTTCTTGAAGAGATCGGAGGTCTGTTTTGATATTTTCCTGTAAAAACGAAATTTCTGCAATTCAGTGGCTCTACTGCTGAAGACAAGGAAGTGA